TGGTTTTAATTTAAAGCGCTTTTTTAATTTTTCAATATTTTTTCTTTTAATTTACAATTTTTGCTTTGAAAAAATTCAACTAAATTTTATACTTTAAGAATTTTCTGACGTAATTCGACATTATACATTTCAATTTTTGGAAGAAGTTTTAACTTAGAAATGATCAGTAAACATAAACGCGTAATTACAAAAAATGATAACTTCAAATACAAATTAATGCAGTCGTTATTTGATAAGACACAATTTATACAAATTTTTTTTTCAATAAATTTTTAAGTTTCAAATTATTAATTTCAAAAATATATCAACTGTCAGAAAACTCTTAATTTTTTCTTAGGAAATTGTTAATTTGAATGTTTTCATTTAGCGTTAAAAATGATTAAGGTTAATTTTCAATTTATAAAAAAATATTGTGTTGAATGAACAATCACTTTTTAACAAAATAAACTCCTCAATTCAATTATTTTTCTTGTTCTCTCAGGGCCAGTTTTTCAATCCAAAATAAAATTTTATCCAATGACAAAATATATCTATATATTTTATATATAGATAGATAGATAGATAAAGTAATTTATTTGACCTTAGAGCCTGGGCTCCCTCAAGGCCATCAAAGTTATATACAGTATACATTTTCATTTACAGTAATCTTATTAACAAATAAATTTCTAATCATAATATAAGTATAATTTCCGAATACAATAAAAAGTATCCAAAAGGAGTATAATAGCCAAATGTAATATGAATATAAATATAATATAAGTATAAATATAAATATAAATATAAATCTTGCATAGAGTTACATATGTAATTTAAGAATTAATTCAATCAAAATAAATAAATAAATAATACCAATGATGACATCAAAACGAAAATAGTAGAACACAATAATCATAATAAATACAATAATCATAATAATAACAGTGATAATAAATAAGTGGAGATTATCTAAACATCTTTTTCGAGAAGGAATACAAATATGCGATTCTGAAATTCAGTATATATAAATATACTAGCAATAATAATGAAACTTTTATCCTGGATTGAAAAACTGGACCTCAATGAATTTTGTGTAAGCAATTACATCATACATTCAAGAACATTAATGTGTATGATCTTATTTTTATACATAATGCATGACAAATGTCCATTTATTAGTAGCATATACAAATAACGATCATAATTGCAAATAGATATCTCAACCTACAAATATGATAGATAATTTAATGGAATTTTAATTTCTTGTTTGCAAACATTTTACATGTACAGAAATATGATTTTTCTTTTTTTTTTCTCTACTAATGTAATGTAATGATGTGATATCTGGTTACAGTATTAAATTAACAGAAAATTTACCCTTTTTAAAGTCAATTTTTTTCTGAAAGAGTTGTATCGTAATACAATATCAAGTTAAGCGGAGGTAGTTTGCGCTATTAATTGGGGAAGACAACTAGATTGTGTTCGGACGTACGCTTGCCTTATAGTAATCACATAAAAATAACATCATACCAAAATTGAAAATTTTCCCTGAATAATAAATATTTAACATACTGTCGCAATTAGCAACCTTATTTCCTTTATATTATTAATAATGAAAAAATTACGTTTACTAATTCAAAATGTTATCGTGGAAAACTACGTTGAATTTGACTTTAAAAAGCGATCAAACTTTAACTCTCCTGACATTATCACTCTTACGTACTTAAAAACGTTTATTTCAAATTATGAAAAAAAATTTTTTTTTCAATTTTATTTTTAAGTTAATTTACTTCAGCAAGTTTATTTAATGGTTTTTGTACTGTATTAAAGTTTATCATGGTTCTCTGACAACGTAGTATCCCAATACCTCAAATTATTGTCCTCTCACAAGCGATTTTCATTCAATTTATAGAGTTATTATTTTGCGATGGTACTGAGTCGAATGAAAAATAAAAATATTCTTAAGAACAGTTAATAATGAACAATTCAATTATTAGCCACTATTCATCATAAATAGTAATATTTCTTCTTATTTTTTCACTTTTGAAAAAAAGTTTTTATTCTAACTTAACTTTTGGAAATTATATTAACCTGATTACCCTGATTAAGAAATCTAATTAGAAAGGATTCAATCCATAATAATAAAGTTAGCTGACATTTTAGATTTTTTTATTTTGCTTAATTTATTAAATTTTAACTAAAAAATATTTTTAAAAAATTGCACTTATAGCTTTTGAAGATTTTAACAAATGAAAAAAATTTTTTTTTATTTTTTTGTAATAATTCTTTAATAAAAAAAATCATAAGAATTTTTAGATGTCGGTTAACTTTATTTTCATTTCAATCCATACAAAATGTATATCTACACTGAAAGAAATTTTCTTCAAAAGTTACTGTTAACTTCACGGTAATCATGAAACGGAAGACACAGCCTTATCATATGTCGGTAAGTGAGATAATTTTTAAGTTTTTTTCAATAAATTTTGCCGTAGTTGCCGTAAATTGCATTAGATTTTCCATGAATGAATTTTTTCGTAATTTTTATTTCAAAAATGCCAATAAATTAACGGCCGCATTATTATTATTTCCCACTATTACAGTTAATTTAACGGTAACTCTTTAAGAAAATTTCTTTCCGTGTATAAATTAGTCAACTCAAATTCTTTCTGAATTGCTTCAAACTGTTTTTAATCATTTCCAATTGGATTTTTTAATCAGGGAATAATTCATTAACTAGATTCAAAATTCTAATTTACTGTAAGTATAAACCAGTAAAGCAAGATTTGACAGAAATAATTTACAGACATGAATACAAAATTATTTGTTGATAGACAATTTTGAAAAATTCATCCAAATATTTGTGACGATTGATTACAAATTGGTTACGATTGCAAAGGATGTCCGACCTTACCCGAAGTTAACAGAACAAAATTAATTTTTAAATGCTACATTATTCGTATGATGAAAAAAAATCTGTATGGGAAAAGTATTTAAGAATTTAATTCAAACTTAAATAGAGTGGTAAAGAATTAAATTGTTCCTTTTTTATTTTTTAATGAGGTTTGAGCGTAACTTATGAGTCAAAATAATGTTCAAATTTTTTTTTACTTTCAGAGTCGTCCCAATATTCGTCAAAATTCTTTATCTTAATTTAAAATAATTCAAACAATTTAATAATTGATGATTTTCACTTATTTAAATATTTCTCTCTCTGTAACTATATTTCTATCTTTTTCTTTTTTCTCAGATGTTGTCGCGACGTTGCTAAATTTTTATTCGAATAAATAGCTGACGATAAACGAGTTACAAACATAAAATTTAACTTTAAATATTTCAAAAATTATATCGGTAATGTATTATTATTAAATTGTTTTTATATTTTGCAATAATCCAAGTTTCTTGTGTATAGTTTTTTATCTGTTAAAATTGGGAAGTTAATATTGAAAAAAATAATTAAAGTCTCGACTAAAGTTGTCCGCCATAAGAGCCCGTGTTTAAGGAGATAAAAAATGTGATTTTTGAAATTTAATATCTAAGTAACTTAACGGTGAATCTTTTTAAAATTTTTGGATTAGATAAATGATGTATTTATTTATACATATGGGTGATTCTCTGTAAGGATGTTTTTCGCTGTCCCAGACATTTTTTTATTGGAAAAATTGTTATTTTTTTGCTGAAAAAAATTTGTTATGAAAATAAAAAAACATTTCTATTTGAAGCATTGAAAATTAAAATGAAATAAATTTTGGTTTTTTTTTGCTATAAATTCGTAAACCACCGAAATTACAGTCCCCTGGGCTGCCCCATTCCCAAAATTGAAACTTTAAGATTAAATTTTAAGTTATTCATCCATTATATATCATTTTGTTCATAATGTTTATAAACTTAATTAGTTAACTAACAATATTCTTCAATAAAAAGTATCGAAAATTAATTTGTTTCATTAAATTCATTAAAACAAAGTTTGTCCCAGACGTTTTAAGAACAGTCCCCTGGCAGAAGTTCAAAGCTAAAAAAAAAATCCAGCGTGTTATTTTACCTTTTGTAAGGTTTATAAGGATCTAACTAGCCTTAAGTTAATAACCATAAGGCTGCTAGCGCTTTATTGCCATTTTATTTAGTGTTAAAGCACCGTTTGTGCTGGAAATATGTGTCTGGGCCACTTCAAAACTCAGTCCCCTGGCAACTATTTTTATTTATAATTTGTTTATAAAATTGGATCCATAAGTCTAAATATTATTCTAATTAATGTAAACATTCATTGAGAACTTGAAAAGTTGAATGCATTGAAATAGTTTGCTTGATTTTTCTCAATTTGATAAAAAAAAAAAAACAGTCCCCTGCCATGTTATATGCACAGTAAAAAATTTTGCGTCATTGCGTCAAAAAACTTAGTGTTAAAAATTTTTGTATTAAATATTTAACACTTTTATGTGTAAAGTTAACACTTATTATGTTGAATCAATATAAAAATGTGTTAAATATTTAACATAAAAATTTTTAACACAAAATTTTAAATTTTTTACCGTGTGGTAAAAGACACACAAATATCGAAAAAAACAAAAATTAAATCGGCTGTTTATTTATTATCATTAAGCTGATAGTTTTGTAGCCCTTGTTAATTGTTTTTCTAATAAAATCAAAAATAATTTGATCGGACAATTTTGGATAGATTAAAGACGTCCTTACAGAGAATCACCTATATACTTAATTTAAAAGCTCAAAGTTGGAAATTGTTTTTCATATTAGATTCGCTCGAACCTCCTTAAAGTACTAATGGTTTAAAAAAGTGTGAACAAACTATTTATGAGAGTGCTGACAGGTTAAATTAACCGTAATCTTTCTCTCGAAAGAATATTTTCAATAATAAGCTCTTAGCTAAAAACTTTAAGTCTGGTCTCGACTTATTTTCTTATGAAGTATCGACAAAGAATCCTTCGCAAATTAATAACTTAGACTTATTCAATACATCGCCTTGTCGGTGAAAAAAGTACAGCGCCTTAGAGGGCGCTTCGATAGAAGCGCTACAATAGTTGGGCTATGACTGGATGTAAAAGACACATATGTTCAGCGCCTCGAATGGGAAGACGATTGACGCTGAAGTGACGAACCATTTCAGGTATGCTATCAAACGGCTTGCTGAACTGCCCCAGAATGTACCCATTTACATCTTCGTTCTTCTGGATTCGCATGTGCATGAAACCACGAGCGCTTCTGCAAAATGATAAATAAAAATAATCAAATAAAATATCACACGCTTTAATTAAACAATCTTGACTTACTTTAATGACAACGAATAGTCTTGCTTGGTAGACTCGCTGTTTCTAACGAGGTAACTTCCTTCTCTGAGAAGTCGAAGAACAGCTTCAGCTTCTACTCTCGTTATTGATCCGTGATACCATCTAATAATCAGGATAGATTATTAATTAACATCATATATTTATGAAAAAATAATAAATTATTAACATTACTATTACGTTTAATTAAATATAATTATTTACTTTAATGTTACTAAAATTAACTGACCCTTAGCAATTTATAAGATCTCTTAATAAATGAATTATTAAAAAGAGAATTCATCAAAAAAAGCTACTTGTAAGAATTGAGAAAAAATGTTGATGTAATTTTTTTTTACTCTTAAGATTTATTTCTTCTATCAAACTAACGAGAAAGATTATATTAATTTTTAAAATCTCTAAGTACGCATTTTGTAATTTTTAATTAAATGTCAATAATTTTTTTTATTTTTATTTAAGAAACAAAAATAATTCGATCGCGGAGTTTTTTTTTATTAATAAGCAAAATCCTTCTCGGAGTGAATTTCACTCCAGAGGGATGAAATAAATTAAAAATTATTCACTCCGCAAATTTTTTACTGTGTATTTATTTGTGTGTAAATATAATTGATTAGTATGTTACCCTTGTCTTTCAAGCGGTAATTCAACGTCTACAAGGTCAGCGGATGCTCTGCTGGTAGTTAATTCAAGTGGGAGTCCAAGGCTCAATCCTCCGGGTTTTTTGACCAACTGAAGACCTCCATTTCCTCCTCCATTGCCACCATTTGCGTCCAAGTTAAGCGTCATTTTTGGACGCGCCGCGCCGCCGCCTGAAATGAGTCATCCGGCAGTTAGACGTCGCGTCGAGTTTTTTCCTCAACCTCGACTTGTCGTATCGCGAAACTAACAACCCACGAATTTTACGAGCCATGATAATCGGGTCAAATGGCAATCGTTCCCCAGAGTGACTTTAAATTGTGTAAGATACAATCAAACATAACTGGATTTTGTTTATATTTTATTGCCAGCAGTTCTACCCCTTCATAATTTTCAATGGATTTCTTTTATTCATTCCTAAATTTTATCGTAATATTTCAGTTGATATTTTATTAATTAATAAAATTTATTAAACTTGTTTTTCAACAAATTAAGACATTTTCTCGATCGGCAAAAAAACTACCTAAAAAAATTTTTATTTTACATTTGTCCTAATTACAATTATTCAATAATTAAAAGTATAAACATCACTTTATACCTCAGAAAAATTTAATTATGAGGAAACAATTTTTAACTAAAAAAATTATGTTTCAATAAAAAACTATCCGATTCAGTATATTGAAATTACACGAGCCTATATGTTGATTTTTATTGTTCTTGATAAATAAAAAAATTAAAATTAATATAATTATTTGAGCTTACATTGCAACTCCCAGTTTATTTTTTTCTGAATAAATAATTTAAAGCTTGATAAATAGAATAATTTTTTTTTTATTTTTTTCTATTACACTTCGAGGATTTAAACCTATACGTACAAAAAAAAAAATACAGAGATATTATTCAGCAGTTAATCAATTGGTTACATTGGTTAACATTAATTGAAATCACACGTTGATTTTTTAGATTGAACTTTCAAATACGTATTATCTTGAACCAGACTTGCTTCGACTGTACATAAACTAAAATTAGATAATTAGAATAAAAAAGATGTATCTATTTATCATTTGAATGAAAAAAAGTTCATCAAAAATAAGCAATCAATGAATTGAGCAATTAAATTCATTGATATTTTTATTACATTTGAACCAGTCACTCAATTAAATACACCGCATCACTTAGTTGATAAAATAAAAATAACTGACCATTCCGATACTGATTACGGACTTATTTTTCAGACCTAATAGACAAACAGTATAATTAACATAATAATAGAATTTTTTCAGTATTACCTATGAATTTTTCCGAATCCTGAGTACTTCTATACAAATATAAAAATAAAAACTAATCAAAAACTTGTTTTATTTAATTTTGACAATCTTAAAATCATTGACTGATTTTTTATAGCTAAACTATTCTGGTATTGGATCTCTTACTTTAAAGAACGCTTATTTAACGGAAAATAAAGTAAAATTCCATGAAAATGAAGTTAGCTGACATTTCAAAATTTTTTATTGAAAAAATTTCAATTAAACAATTAAAAAAAAAATTGTCACATGTAAAAAACTTGAAAAACTATAAGTACAATTTTTTAAAAATATTTTGTTAGTTGTAATTTAATTAAAAAAAAAAAATCAAAAATTTTTAGGCGTCTGCTAACTTCAGTGTCATAAAAATCCACGATTTTTTTATTGTAATTGCATACTTTAAAGAAGTCTATCTTAAATAAAAAAAAAAAATTCTTTTGGGATACATCTATAAATCTCATTCAAAAACAATAATATTTTTGCATGAAGAACCCTCTGCTCATCTATAAGAACCGTAATTTATTGAATCAAAAGATATGAATGTTAAAAAAAAAAGAAAAAAAATTCTTTTATTCTTTTACACTTCTTTTATTCAAAACTATTAACTTGAAAAACTCCTCTCAGTAGTTCTCCAAATACGCTTTAATAATATAAAAGCCGACAGGTGACTATAGAAACAACTACACCCTAACCGATCGGTAATTTTGTTTATACTGCGGCAATCTTTTAACAGTTAACTTTTGTGTCCTGATACGGGTACGAAGAAATTGCTCTGACGGCTGTAGCGTTGAGTTAACGACGCTCAAAGATAACATGATTGGAAATTTCGTTGGTAACGATATCAAAGAATGGGTAAGCAAACTCATTCATTATTTTTATTTCATATACTTATTTTATAGATACTCTTGAGATACGTCTGAACTTTTCCACTTTTCTTTTCTTTTATCTTTGCTGTAACAAGTAAGAGACGTGGGTATTTTTTTACTCCACTGTACTTCTAACTTCTATAACCGTATGGTATAAAATATTTAAGAAACTCAAGGCTTGTATCTACTTTGGAAGATTGGCGTTGTCTGTTTTATTTAATTTAATCCTTAGATTTTACTAGCCAATTCGTTTAAGTTACTTTCACTTTTATCATTTTTTATTTTTATCTCTTCGAGCTACTTTATATATTCATTCTACGCGAGCTTTTTGCTTTAAATAATAACAATTTATTAATAAAATAATAATAAATACGATAAAATTATGAGCTACACCCTTCCACTTTGTCAATGATTAGATATAATAAAATGGGAAAAATTAAATTAAAGCACCTTGAAAACACTATCATTATTTGTGATTAATCTGCAATGGTTTTAATAATTATAAAATTTTACGCTCAATAAAAAATTATTTTTACGTTTCATAGTATATTACACTACAAGGGCAGAAAGTTGAGATTCCTGCACTGCGCGCCATGTGCCCGAGGCGAAGCTGAGGCTCTCAAATTTCTGCCCATGTAGTGTATAATATTTTTCTTGCTATGCGGTCGAAAGTACGTTAAAAATTGCGTTGAAAAAAATTGATGCCTGCCCCCGACATTTGCGGCACGAGCGAAGCGAGTGCTGTTGGTCGGGGAATTAAATTAATGTGTACGTTTGTAATTAATATTTACTAACAATTAATGAGAGATCCGCAATAAATAATTTTTAATTTTTAAATGAAAATTTTTGCTCTAATAAATTTCTTAAAATTAAAAGAAAAATTTTTAGTATCTGCGCTTTAGAGGCTACTAAATATGCGACTATTTTAGAAAAATATTGTATTAAAACTGGAAACTCTGAAGGTCATATAATAAACCATGATAATTTTTTTTATGTACTAAACAGAAAATTAAAAGGCGACAGATAATAATTACAGTTTTTTTTGGCTTTTAGTGTTTAACAGATATGGACTGTTGCTCTAAAGTATGCTATGCAATTCCTAGTACTACACAGTAAAAAATATTTTGTATTTGTGTCGAAAACGGTTTGTGTTAAAAATTGTAGTGTGTTAAAATAACACAAAGCTTGTGTCATTTTATTTTGTAACATAAAAAATGTGTTATATACTCTTTATTAATATATTTTGTATGTTACTGGGCAATGAACACAAATTTTGTGTCAAACTCGTCATTAATATAACATCAACTTTGTGTTGACAGCCCGTCGATTCTTCACTTTACGCAGCAACCATTTTCACGAAAATATAATAAATATTAAATAATAAAGACAATTAAATTTATAACTCGGCTGCTTCACTTTTAAAATCTATAAATTATTTTTTGATTTAATTATTAAAAATTTTTCATACTTTCTTCCTTCCAATTATTTATAGTCGGTATTTGTTGATGTTTCGTTAAAATGTAAATGATAGAAAAAAAACATTTTTAAATAAATATTATTTACTGCAGTTGAGGAAATAAAAAAAAATTATTTTATAGGTTATGTTATAGGCATCAAACAGTTGATGAAAATAAATAAATTTATTTAACATTTATTTTGTGTTAAGATTGACACTTTAGAAGTGTATGATTCTTTGCGCCCTCTTGTGGCGATATTTCAACATAATCTTTGTGTTAAAAAGGGGTTACACAAAATTTGTGTTGAAATTTCAACACATATTTTGTGTCAACCGTTTTTAACACACAAACTGTGTTGATTTTACACAATATTTTTTACTGTGTTTGTTTACTTTATTAGTTTATCAATGATTTCTCAAAAACTATGCGGTAGGGAATTCCAGAATTTTTTAGGGTAATTATACATGTATTAATCTAAGTAATAATAGTTTTTCGTGAAATTCTTTAAATTTTTTCAATGCAAAAATAATAAAACTTCGCGGTTTTCTCTTTCTTTTCCCATACCGCCTGTGTAAAAATGTCATTTTCAATCGCAATTATTTTTAGTTAGAAGTGGTAAATCGTCTCCAAATTTTAACAGCATGTGCATTACGCATTTAATTACTTATATTATAAATTTGGAAGGTTTTTTGAAATTTTGCTCGCAGAACCCAACTACCTTAACTTATCAAAATGTTGTTTTGATAAGTTCAATCGCTATTTTCATTAAAAAAAAAAAAAAAACGGTTTTAAAATTAAAAAATTCATAATTTAAAAAAACGGTTTCAATGATTTAAGGTGAAGATTTTCCAAGTTTTTATAGAAGGTTACACATCATGACTTTTTAAAAATCTATTTTTTAATCCCATTTTCTGCCTTAGGAGGTTGAGAAATTAAAATTTTAGCTTAATGATGTTTTGTTGATTTATAATTAATTTTTTTCGACTAGCAGTTGAAGAAATTTTCTGTCCTCTGAGCTATACTTAATTATGTAGCTGGCTGACTCCCGATTAATAATTTTTTAATTGATTCTTTTTTAATGATTAACGCATCGAAGCGAAAGAGGGCGTTCAATTCTATGAAAAAAAAATATTATTCACAGAATAATCCATACAAGCTTTAAGATTGTACTGTAAATGAAATTAATTTCTTGTAATTTATTTATAATTAACTTTTTATTAAAATTGTTTTTTAATTTATTTTTGTAGCGTACAGTAGATAACATTGTTTTTTATCAACGTTTGATATTAAATTATAAAAAAATTGAAAATAGTATTAAGGTTATTAGTAAAAATTCGTTGCATATTAAAACTTTGTACTTTGATAAATTTACACATGACGATCGCTTCAGAAGTACGCATTTAGACTTAACAATCTTTTTTATTATTTAAAACACTATGGTTATTCAAAACTAATCATAAAATGCAGAAATCACCAAAGAATTGAACAATAATATAAATTAAAAAAAAAAATGTTTTTAATATCAAAATATTGAAATAACATTACTGGCACAATTGTAT